TTAACCTTCATTCTCAGAGGTAACCAAGGGCAATAGCAGTAACCTCCAATGTTTTGGGAGTTGCTTGGGCTACCCTGACCAACAGCACAAATAGAGGTTTTTATGTCTGGTACTGTGAGAATTAGTCTAAGGTACTGTTGGGGGCGTTGTTACCCCAGGTTGCATATCTTCACTTAAGGCATGCATATATTATTTATATATTTGCACATGTATATATTGTCTGTATAGTATATAATTTATAGTTACAGGTAAACGTAAAATGATTCTTCAAGTTTTATCAAACAACCTTGGTGTTATTCCCTCCTGTATTGACCTCTCTCCCCAGTTAGAGCTCCATCCCATTTTTCCATTTCCCTGTTCTTATCACTGGTATCCTTCTATTCCCTTTTCAGTCTCCCCTAGGTTGCTACTCCGTGTTAGATATTTAAGTCTGAAGACTTAGAGCTAGGGATTGCAGATGAAAGAGGACATACGGTGTTCGTCTTTCTGTGTCTGGTTACCTTACTCAGTATAATTTTTCTAGATCTGTTCATTTACTTCAGGATTTTTTTTTTTTAAGCTGAATAATACTCTGTTGTGTGTATGTACCACACCTTCATTTTCCAATAATCTGTGGAAGGACATGTGCCTCCTTTCTGGCTGTTGTCATTAGGGCAGCAGTAAACATGCCTGAGCAAGTAGCCATGGAGTAGGATGTTAAGTCCTTTGGGCTGGGTCATGTGGTAGGTTTATTTTTAGATTTTTGAAGATACTCCACACTGATTCCAGACAGGCTGCATCAGTTTGCTTTCTCACCAAGAGTAGATGTGGCTTCCCTTCTCTTCAGATCCTTTCCAGCATTTCTTGTTTTGTTATTAGCCACTCTGCCTGGGATGAGATAGTTCAGAATTATAGTTTTCATTTCCCCAGAGGCCAAGGCTGGGAACACATTTTGACATATTTACTAACCACTTTAATTTCTTCTATTGAGAACTCTTCAGATCCATGCCTGCTCAACCCCTCCTCCCCCCCCCCCTTTTTTTTTTTTTTGAGACAGGGTTTCTCTGTGCAGGTTGGCTGCCCCGGAGCTCAGCTCTGTAGACCAACCAGGCTGGCTTTGAACTCATGGAAATCTGCCTTCACCTGCCTCTCAAGTGCTGGAATTAAAGGTGTGCACCACCACTGCCCAGCCTATAGCCCATTTTTTTTAACTGGGTCATTTGTTTTATTGACTTTGTCTTTTGAGTCCTTTGTATTTTCTGGGTCATAATCATCTGGCAGATAAATAGCTTGCAAAGATTTCTTTCTTACTTTGTGGGTTTCTTCAACAAATTATTTCCTTAGCTGTACAGAAATTCACTTATTAATTGCTGGCCTTAATTCATGGGCATAGTACAGTCCTATTCAAAATCATTTCCTACACCTGTATCTTGTAAGGTACTGCTTATGGTATTTTGTTTTGTTTTTAAGCAGGTTTAGCATTTCAGGTTTAAAGTTGGAGTTAATTTTTTGTGCAGAATGACAGATACGGATGTAATTACATTCCTCTATATGTTGACATTAGTTTTTCAGTACTATTTGTTGAAGATGCTGTCTTTTCTCCAGTATATGGCTATATATAGATATGTATATCTATATATATGGCATTATTGCCAAATATCAGATGGCTATAGTTATATGTACTCATGTTTTGCTGTTCTGTTTTATTCCATTGGTGTACATGTGTCTTTGTTACATTGTTTTTGCTATTACAGCTCTAATATATCTTGAAATATGGAATGGCAATCCCTCCAGTATTATTGTTTTGCTCAGCATTGCTTTGGCTGTCTAGGGTTTTTCCTGGTTTCATATGAATTTTAGGATTCTTTTCCTGTAATTGTGAAGAATGTTGGCAAGTTGGGATTGTATTAAACCTGTAAATATAAAATAGGCCACAAAACAAACCTTATCAAATTGAGAAAAACTGAAACAATTCCATGCATCCTATCAAACTGTCATGTAATAAAACCTAAAATTGACAGCAAAGTTTCTCTAGTAAGTTGTAAGATCATGGATATTAAACAACTCATTATAGGATGATGAGTCAAAGAAGAAATCAAGAAAGAAATGAGAATTTCTGGTACTAAATGAAAATGGAAACAGAACAACACCTTTGGAACACATTAAAAGTAGTTCTAAAAAAGTTGTATCTGGAAGTGCCTATGTTTAAAGGGCAGAGACAGCACAAATAAATAGCTTAATGTTGCAACTAAAGAATTTGGAAAACAGCTGGGTGTGGTGCCACATGTCTTTAATCTCAGCACTTGAGAAGTGGAAGCAGGTGAGTCAATCTGTTAAGAGATCAACCTCTTCTACATAGTGATTTCTAGGAGAGCCAGGGGCTACATAGGCTGTGTCTCAAACAATTGGGAAAATGACAAACCAAACCCAAATTGAGTAGATGGCAAGAAAGAAAAATCAAAACAGAAATTAATGAAATGGAAGCAAGAAGTACTATCTATAGATAGTACATATATATATATATATATATATATATATATATTACTTGAATGTAAGAGCTGGTATTTTTGAGGAAATAAAATAGACTCTTGGTCTAAGTAGCCAAAAGAAAGCCATGGTTCAGAGTAACTGACTCAGGAGTAAAGAAACAACAGACATCAAAGAAATTCACAATATTGAAGATAATACTTTAAAAAACCTGTACCCCATTCTATTGAAAATATCTAAAAGAAATGGATGAATTCTTGGTTCAAACTACCAAAGTTAAGCCTAGAAGATCAAAAGGCTAAACAGACCAAAACAAATGAGATTGAAGTAGTAATAAAAAGCCTTCCAACTATAAAAGCTCAGGACCAGATGGATTTATAGTAGAATCCTCCCAGACTTTTCAAAGATGTACATCTAATTCTCATATCACCAAGGAAGAACACTCCCAGAATCATTCTGTAAAGCCATATTACTCAACTATCAAAACCAGATAAAGACACGACAAAAGAAAATTACAGATTCCTCATGAATACAGGTGCGAAAATCCTCACAAACAATTGAAACTCGGCATATGTCTAAAAGATGATCCACTGCGATCCAGTTGGCTTTATTAGCTCAGAAATGCAGGAACAATTAAACATAATAAATATGATAAATTATATAAATAGACTTAAAAGTCACACGATCATCTGAAGAAAAAGGCTTTGACAAAATACAACATACTTTCATGATAAAAGTCTAGAAATAGAGTAGGGCTGGATGGAATATACCTCAACATAGTAAAAGCTATAAAGAGCTATACAGCCAACATCCTAAATAGAGAAGATACTAAAGCAATACTCATTCCGTTAAAGTTGGAATGAGACAGGGCTATCCACTGTTCCCACCACCTTTAAATTTAGTGCTCAGAAAACTAGTTGGAGCAATAAGGCACTTAAAAAACAAATAGGAAAAGAAGTAATATTATTCCTAAGTATATATAAGAAATCTCAAAATTCTACCTGAAAACTTCTAGAAACAGGTTCAGCAAAGTGGGGATAGGGGGATACAAAATCAACTTAGAAAAATCTTAGAAATAGCCTTTTCATGCACTAACAACAAACATGTTGAGAAAGATCACAAGCATACTTCAATTTATAGAACCTTCAAACACAAATGGGCCCACTTCCATCTATAGCACTTTCAAACAATAAAATGCCTTGAAATAAATCTAATCAAGAAGGGGGAAAAGACCTCTATAATGAAAACTTCAAGTTTCTGAAGTTAAAAATTCAGAGACATCACATGTTCACAGAACAGTTGTGTTAATGTGAAAATGACCATCCTACCAAACAATAGTAAAAGTTTGTTTTGTTTTCTTGAGACAGCTTTCTCTGTGTAAGAGAGCCCAGGCTGTCTTAGACTTGTTTTGTAGACCAGGCTGGCCTCGAACTCACAGAGATTTGCCTGCCTCTGCCTCCCTAGTGCTGGCATAAAATTAAATCTTAAAAAAACAAATGTTATGTCTGTGAATGGAGTGGAGATAATTTGTGAGCAAGTGGTCAGGACTGTATAATAATCCTCACAAGAAAATAGGTGGGTACCAGTGGTAATAAACAATTTCTATCCATTTTGATAACTGAAGTGAAACTGAACAGATTCAGAAAGTGTATCAAGTGCTGGCTTGCACCTGGCAGTCCCACCACAGTAGACGGGTAGCATCAACAGTGCAGATGGTTGAGTTTTCCCAGGTTGTAGATCAGGGTCATCATGAAGATAACTACTGTGAAAAATATGGGTACCATTCAGGGCGTATGTGTGCTTCCGCTGGGATTATTAGTGCTTGGGGCAGTGTAGTACTTGAGATTTCAGTGACCCCTGAGCACAGCATTGGAGTTTAAGTAATGTCAGAATGAAGACACTAAACAAGCAAAGTTGTGTAGGGACTCAGGAAAACTTTTCCCCAAGGACTTCAATCTGAGTGTAGGTCTATTTTTCTCATCTGTAAAATAGTAACTGCAACATAGGGAATATGCAAGGGTTAAGTGAAACAATATGGCGCCTGCTGGGCTTTGAGAAATGCCACTCAATCCTTTCTCTGTGGTTAGGTCATCTTGCCACTGGCACCAAAACTCTCTTCCCTTATTCTGGACACAATTAAACTATATGTGGGTTTGAATGAGAATACGCCCCATAGGCTCATATATTTGAATGCTTGTCCTCAGTTGGTGGAAAGGTTTGGGAAGGATTGGGAGGTGTGGCCTTGTTGGTAGTGTTTAGCTAGAGGTGGGCTTTGGGGGTCCACAGGCTCACACCGTTCCCAGTTAGCTCTTTCTCTGCCTTGTACTTGTGAATCAGCTCTAAGTTCTCAACTGCTGCTCCAGTGCTGTGACTGCCTGCTGCTGTGCTTCTTGCTGCCATGATTCTCATAGACTCAACCCTCTGAAACTAGTCAAGCCCCACTTTGGTCATAGTGTCTCTCCACAGCAATAGAATGGTTACAGTTACCGATACAGTAACACACATTAAATTAAAAGAGAAAAGTTTTTATTCTGATATATAAAACAAAAATTTAATATATAATGACAGTTTTTTTTGAAAGAAGAAATAAAATGGTAGGAGTAGGGTTCTGTTTAGAAAAATATACTCAGGCATCTGCTAAACGCATGTAATTCCTCACAGGCAACAGCTCACAAAGATCACAGGACTGTGTGTGTGTTTTCTTGAATAAACCGATTCACATTTGCCAAACAACTTAAGCATGGTAAGAAACATCACTTTCCTTTTTGGTAGTGTAAATAGTGTATTCAACATAGAATACCAAGCAATAGCATAGCCGAGAGTGAGTCTTGTAGTAACTGATCATCAGTTTGTTGGTTCTGTAATACTTGTCTTAGTAACAGACATTCCAGACAGCTGCAGGCACACACCAGATGCTTTTAGCAGTCTGGAAGCTGTGGCTCTGGGTGTCTGGATCCTCACTGCGACACAGACTCAGGGCGCATCTTGTTATCCTTGTGCCGATGATGCTCAGTGCACGACTGAGAAATGGACACAGGCCGAGGAAACAGTCCTCACTCAGCACAAGCCACTTTTGCCCAATAAACAGCTTCCTAAAGGGAAAGAACTTGAGATGCAGCAGCGTCTGGCATTCAGGAAATCAGTACAGTTCGGCCTCTGACCAGCAGGTGATGCTAGACCACAAGGGCAGCAGCTGGGGCTCTTGACCTGGAAGGCTGGGAAGACACTAAACTTGGATAACATTAAGGATTCACTTGGCCAGTTTGTTCTCAATGTGCTATTCTCTCCCCGACACTGTATCTAAACAGAAAACACAATTCATATAAAATTTAATTGGGTCAGACATTAATAAGCTTCTAAGAAGGCCAACAAAAAGTGATCTGTCAAAATTATTAAGTTCCACATAGCTTGTAGTTAGGAGGGTTCTGCCACTGACGACTGCCCTAGGAACCAGCATTGGCATGCTCTAATCTTCTCTTACAAAACAACCAGCTGTTTTAAGAGCAAAGCTACGGTGTGCACCCACGCCACTGCTGCAGGGCTTTAACGGTGTGTGGTGCTCCTCGCATTTCTACTGAAGACATCTTAAAACTGCCCTAGTCAGTCAACTCAAAGAAAACACTGGTGGGAACGTTGGCTTTTAATCCCACCAGGCCTCACCTTCCAGCCAGCAGAGTTGCTGGCTTCCTAAAGCCACTTTAAGAAGCAGAGCAGTGACTGCCTGGCCATCAAGGCTGGGACAGCGCTCCAGCTGCAGGGCATTGCAACCCCAGGACTTGTGTGTAGGCCACTGGGCTTTCTGAGCTGTTGTAAACACGATGAGAACAGATTCTTCCTGTGCTGGAACCCGTCCTTAGTTCCCGTTTTCCTGTCACAGCCACACTGGGTCAATGGAGTGCTCAGGCATTACAAGATCTTTTGCATGAACTGGTTAAAAAAACATGAATTTTACGATTTTTAAAAAGTGATCTATAAAGCTTCATTTTAAAAAGAAGTATTTAAAAAAAATTTAAAAATACTCTCTGTACGTTAGCATTTTGTTTCACTTTACAAAGGCTCTGTCCATGCACTGGGGCCAGGCCCAGAGTATGTGCAGTTGTGTGTATTTTAAGTTCCTTGGAAAAATCCTATAAAAATAGTGTTCTTGTTCAAAAGCTTAAATAAAGAATAGGGCTGTAGGAATGACGATGAAAAAGAGGAAAGAAAAAGATGAAGTACATGGTTATTTTTCTCATCTTAAGTTGGCATAAAAATGTAAAGTATTTCCCTTTGGAGTCACTTTACATCTCCATGCTCTTCAGTGCTCACCACCCATGGGTCTTGCTGCCCCACAGTCTGTCTATGACCTCAGCCTGCCCAAGCTGCTCGAGCCCTAGAGTGTGATGGCTGGTCCGTGCTCCTCCACCCCTCCTTGTGGGAGGACCAGGCTGTTTCGGGGGTCTGGTTTTAGGGAGCTGAGAAATCTATGGATGCTGCCATTGCTCTCCCGTCCAGAGCTATGCAGTACCATGTCCCTTTGCAGCCTGTGGGCAAGGTTGGTGCCATTGGCCCTTGAGAGGCTGCCTGGAGGAAAAACTTGTGTCTTGGGAGTGTGTTGGGGCTCTAGAGGCCCCTCAATGACGATGTCGGCTTCCTCGTCACTCTCCATTTCTTCAGGGTGGAAGTTCTGCACCACATGGGCAACTGGCAGGCTGTGGTGACTGGTGGTGCTGTCTGTAGACTGGACAGAGCTGCCGGATGTGCGGCTGCTGCGGACCACATTGTTCCTTTGGTTGGCAGGCTTGACGGTGACAATGAGGTTGTGGCTGTTGGCGATCATCATGTCTGTGACTTGATCCAATGTCTTTCCAGCTACCTCAATCCCGTTTACCTCCAGGACTTCGTCATTCACAGCCAGTAGCCCCGTGCTCTCTGCAAGGCCCCCAGGCACCATTCGGGAAATGAAGATGCCAGGTACTTTCTCCAGCCCGTGGGGTGTCACACGCACGCTGGTGCCATCTCGGATGTAAAAGCCCAGTGGCTTTTCACAGCCGTGTCTGTAGAGCCTTACTCGGCGGTGTGTCTCGGGGAGGATGTCCACGTCGATGATGGATGACACTGGGCGGAAGTCATGAGGCATGCTGATGCTGAGGTGGGCACGCCGGCGCAGCCCCTCATCCCTCAGGGCCACCAGCGCCTTCTTCTTCCTTGACAGGGTGCCTGCTCCGAAGCTGAGATGGTCCGCCTCTTCTGAAACAGCCCAGAGAGATACCGTGAGAGGTGTACAGCACACACAGGCAGAAAAGAGCACTAGTATCTTTGCAGTGTCGGAAGCCTGCCACTGCTGTCCTCATAGATGCCAGCTTTTCTGCTGCCTGCCTGGCAACTGCCTCCCCAAGTTAGAATTCTGGAAGAATTACTGTACTTGGGACTTGATGTGGAGAAAACACTGGGGTGACTTGGGATTACTTCACTTCCCAGGGGCTATCTCCAAACCAGCCCATAGGTAATGAAACAAAAGGACTTAGAGGGTAAGAAGTAGAATGAAGAGCCTGCAATGAAGAGAATGGACAAAAGAAAGAAGGGTTAAGTATCTGGAAGGCTGGGAAAACAGAACATGGGTTACAGCGCAGCAGGACCTGGCTGTAGGAAGCTTCCACAGACAGCCGGGGGCGGGGGGGGGGGGGCTTCTTTAGCACATCCAGCCAAGTCCCTATATGACCCTGGTTGTCTCCTCCCAGCTGTTAGGGCAGAGGACTAGGTCTGTCTAGGTTGATTCCTGAGAAGACTGACTTCTCCACTCTGTGAACATTATGGGGTAAGCAGTACCCTGGGCCCGACAAGGCATTTCCTAGGGAATCTTTTTCTTTTCTTTTCTTTCTTTTTTTTTTTTTTTTTTTTTTTTTTTTTTTTTTTTTTTTTTTTTTTTGCCAGTTTCTGGTTAGTGGCTGATGAAGGGTGACACAGCACCTAGCACCAGTTGAGTGACAGGCCACTGCAGGAAAAGCACATGTGATGAATTAGCTAGACAGGCACATGCTGAGAAGCCTGGTCTAAAGCAGTTCTTAGAGGATGAAAGCGGGTAGCCTGGTGTTAGGAAACGTTGACAAGAATGTTTTCTCAGGTTAGCAAAACATACTACATTTATTTTTATGTAAAATCTTTTATATTTGACACGTGAAGCTATACAAGAAAGCACGTCTGGACTCAGATCAAAGGCCTCAATCCCCATGGTTCGCCTCCCTGGATACATTAGTGTCTGTGTTCTACACACTGGTCCTGTGGAGTCTGCACCTTATGGTGGCCTCTGCATGGACTTGGGGTGGTGTGGTGCCTTCCTTTGCCAAGAGAAATCCCTCTGTTCAAAGGCTGAGCATTTCTCAGACCCATGCCCTTACAAGCAGGCCACTTGAGAGGTGGCCAGCTCATGCCCTGCCCCACAACAGTCTTTTAGCAGCCTTTGACGCTAATATTGGCCTGCATGCCTGTAAAAGACAAATGATTGATGGAATAAAGAAAACCAGATCATAGGCAGGGAAGGATGGATAAGAGAGAAGAAAAGGAAAACAAATTGGAAACACTTGGAGAGTTGGCAAGACAACTCTAAACACCTAGGAAAACTTCTTGTCTTAAAAAGGCTGTGGGAAAGTCCAAAAGCTTGACATGGACAAGAAACTTGAAGACAAGAGGGCTCGTGCTACGGGTAGGGCCAAAGAGGACAACCTCTAGGTTGCCAAGCCCAGCAAAGAGAAGCCCCACTGCACTGAGACCTTTCTCAGGCAGATGTCCCCATCTGGGAGTGTGCTGAAGGCCACATCAAGAGGAAGCAGCTGCCTACTCAGTACAGGGCTGGGAAAAAAGGCTACTCATTGGTAACAAGAATGGTAGCATCTTTATGGTTAGGCTTCAAGAAGTGCCATCACTACTTGCAGATTAATGCCTGAAGCTAAAAGCAGAACCAGCCCTGCAGTCAGCACATGGCATCACTGCCAGTCTGCCGCCTCCAGGAACGGCCTACCACACTCACCGAGCCAGAGCCAGCCAAGCAATGGTTTGTGGTGTGTGACTCAACTCCTTGCCTCTGCTGAGTTCCTCTGCATAGAACACACCAGAAGCCTATCGCTGGCACCTCACAAACACCAGCATCTGTGATGCAAAGTTCCCCAGACATCACACTGAGGCAGTGTCTGTTAGGCAGCAGCAGCAGCAGCTGGGAAGCCAGGAAGGTGAGACCCAAGATGTGGAAAAAGAGGTGGGAACTTACTGCACAGGGCATGGTGATCAAAGGCTGGAGAACCAAATTTTGCCAACCCTAAAGCTGGTCCTCAGCCCCATAGCACCAAGTGGCTAGGTTTTGCTCTAACACGTGGAAAGTGCTCACGAACTTGTAATCTAAGTTTCTTACCAGGAACCTAGTTAAACGGGAACATTTCATCTGTTTTGTAAAACTATCTGCTTGAAGGTGGGATTTTTGCCTCTCCTATAATGTGGAGACTGGAACTCCAATGCACTGCCCCTCTTCTGTTAGCGAGCCTGCAACTGTAAGCAGTAAGATTCAATAAACCAGGCTGCCTAACTTTTGGCATTTATGTTGTTGGCTAGCCCCTGGTGCAGAGCCCTTGCTTCTCTGGCCCTGACCCTGTATTTCCAGCTCCCAGGTTTGTGTAACTGTGTATCAGGAGAAGTTTCAGCAGAGCTAAAGGTTCTGAGAAGGCAGCTTCTCCCTTGAGCACCCATCTTGTTGACCCACAGAAGTCTCTCACTTTTCAGCACAAGACACTGGTCCACAGAAACAGTGAAAATGAACAAGGGGGACCTTGGGAACTTATGGGGCCGCTGCACTGAAGGTCCTTGGTCACAGTTCCCAACACTGTGATATCATACATGAGATGTATGTGCCGAATGCATGTGGAGGGCTCGGTACAGGTCATAGCTGTGAACATAGTATCTGATGAGGTTAGGTACATCCAGTGTGGGATGGCTGTAGATCACACGTCTCAGCACAGCAAGCCAGGAGATGGTATTCCTGACAATGTCCATGGGGGTGGACAGATCCTGTGGGGAGCCCCAAGAAAGACAAGGTTTGTCTGGGTAGCAGAATGCCTCACTACTGTCTGATGTCAGGAGCCATTAGAAGAGGCTCTGCCAAGGATGGCGCTGGTGCCACTGTGGCCGCCTGGCTTGTCCACACCGTTACTACAGAGGATGTGTGCCCCAGGAGAACGACCAGGGGCACACGGAGCAGGCCCTGTGCTCGCCTGTGTAGTCTTCTTACAGGCTGACCAGGTTTGCAGACCAGCCCAGTAGGTCTGGACCTCCAGTCAAGTCTGGAGGATGGGCCATGCTCCGGGTTATAGCTTCATCCTGAGACCCTGGATTTGGAAAGTCAGAGACTGTCTAGCTCTGGCAAATGGCTGTGTAAGGAAAGGGCATGTTGACTTCCAGACAGGAAGTAAAAGAGTTAAGTGTTCTGGGAGAAGCAGGCAGATGCCTCATGAGATGGAATAGTGTGTGTGACTCTGGCACTTTCTGAACTCTCCGGGAAATGTGTCTCCTGTAGACTTAACCTGGACTGTGTTTCCTAACAACTGTGGTGGAGAACACGCAATCCCTGCTGGCTTTAGGACACGCGGCAAAGGACCAAGATGAGCGGCAGCCCATACACTTGCACGCTGGAGTCTCAGACAGCGATGTGTTTCTCTTTTTAAACATAAACCACCACACATGGACTTTATTTATAAAAAATCCCAAACTCTCCCCAAAACAAAATTTGCTCTTAAAGAATGCCCCATTCCTAAAATTCCAACCTTGGCTTCTGAAATGAATACTTTTAAGAGAGAAAAATTGTCATAGTTTCTTTACCAAGCAGCATGCTAAACTTTCTGTTTTCTACAGGCAAACAATTAAAAGAATTTCATTTTTTGAGCTGACTAAATCTTGTCTTGTTTTCCCTCATATTTTCTTTTAAAAACCTTTTTTTTAACTTCTGTTTCAAGATGTCCTCAATAAGAGGACATGAAAGGAAATGGAAGTTTGACCCTGTAAAACTCTGGTGGCTACAGGTCATCAAAAATTTTTAAAGAGCTGTTTTGTTATAGACAATCCCTTATAGCATACATGTATTTGGCTTGTTTAAACTGACCCTGACCCCGAGCCAAGCCTTTTTTTTGGTGAAGAGGAATCTGCCTAACTTCTCTGGAGGACTCTGGCACTGCATTACTGGGCTCTGGCAAAGGACAATGGGAAGATGGCCCATCCTCATATTTCCTCTAGGAATGCAGGCGTTTGCTTCTGGGACTGGGGAAACCCACAGCTTGGTGTCAAGCCAGGCCTACTGAGCTCTCAGAATAAAGACCCCCTTAATTTTCCATTAGGCATTTGGATGAGGATCGGAATGGGCATAAGAGTCTACTTCAAACCGCTGCTGTGTATCATGGCTACAGACAGCGACCTCAGGAGGAGGCGATGCACGGGTACCACGTCTAACATCGGATAGTAGGGGATGGTAGTGAGGATGAAAGCCAGGTAGGCAGCTCACGGCAGCGTGGCAGCCCCAGGCAGCATTCTTCTATGTGTGCAACTGCCGAGGATGACAGTGCCTCTTGGCTCACCAGGAGACTCACCTGACCACTTCAGCCTCCACTGCCCTGGGACTCTTGGCTGCATCAGACAGAGAAATATCTGGAATCACTAATCATCCTGTTCTAGGCCCTGGAGCACCTGCATGTTTGAACAGGCTGTGTCTAAGCAATGGGGATCTTCAGGCCAGGACCCAGGCTTTGGACCTGCTGTCTTAGCCTCATCATGGGTAAAGCCCATCTGCTCCGTGACCTCTGCTCTCGGCAGAGCTCCATACTCATAGGGTCACGTACTGATGGGATTCTTTCCAATGCTTCCTTGCTGTGGACAATTGCATCCCTGGCATTCCCATTCTCAGAGAAAACAGAACTACAAGAAAACAGTGTCTCATCATCCATCAAGAGCAACAGGCAGGCCAGGCAGGTACACTGTGATCTACACCCATCCTGGGAACCTGCCCCCTGAACAGAGGATGACATCACTTCTGCCCTTTGTTTATCCTAAGTCTCCCAGAGAGCAGCAGCCTGAACGTGTGCCTGCATGTCCCCTGGACTGGGAATACCAACAATCCACACTGAAGAACAAGCAAGGAAGGGGCTTTGTGTTCCTAGACAGGAGCTGTGAACACAGAAACTCATTCAAGACGACCTTGCAGGTAGGGCAGATAGAGC